AATAGAAGTGGGATAACAATAATACGAGGAGAGATAACGTTATGTAAACAGTCGAGCGAAATACGTAAATAAATGTAAGAATATGGTAAATTTATGTGGAGTCGTATGTGTTGTGGGAAGGGATAATGAATGTAAATAGAAGTGGGATAAACAATAATAGAGAGAGATAACGTTATATGGATTGTGAGGAATTAGTAAATAAATGTAAGCATATGGTAAATTCATGTGGTCGTATGCGCTGTGGGAAGGGATAATAAATGTAAATAGAAGTGGGATAAACAATATTAGAGAGAGATAACGTTATCTAAACAGTGAAGAATTAGTAAATAAATGTTAAACAATATTAGAGAGAGATAACGCTATGTAGACAGTGAGGAATTAGTAAATAAATGTAAGAACAAGGTTAATTCATATGAATAGTCGTAAGCGTTATAGAAAGGGATGGTATATGTAAATAGAAGTGGGATAAACAATATTAGAGAGAGATAATGTTATGTAGATAGTGAAGAATTAATAAATAAATGAAAGAATATGGTAAATTCATGTGAATAGTCGTATAAGTTGTAGGAAGGGATGGTGAATGTAAATAGAAATGGGATAAACAATATTAGAGAGAGATAACGTTATGTAGACAGTGAAGAATTAGTGAATAAATGTAAGAATATGGTAAATTTATGTGGAGTCGTATGTGTTGTAGGAAGGGATGGTGAATGTAAATAGAAGTGGGATAAACAATATTAGAGAGAGATAACGCTATACAGACAGAGAAGAATTGGTAAATAAATGTTAAACAATATTAGTGAGAGAGTAGTATAGTGAAGAATTAATAAATAAATGAAAGAATATGGTAAATTCATGTGAATAGTCGTAGGCGTTGTAGTAAGGGATAATGAATGTAAATAGAAATGGGATAAACAATATTAGAGAGAGATAACGTTATGTAGACAGAGGAGAATTGGTAAATAAATGTTAAACAATATTAGAGAGAGATAACGCTATGTAGACAGTGAAGAATTAGTAAATAAATGAAAGAATATGGTAAATTCATGTGAATAGTCGTATAAGTTGTAGGAAGGGATGGTGAATGTAAATAGAAATGGGATAAACAATATTAGAGAGAGATAACGTTATGTAGACAGTGAAGAATTAGTGAATAAATGTAAGAATATGGTAAATTTATGTGAAGAGGCGTAAGCGTTATAGAAAGGGATGGTGAATGTAAAGAGAAATGGGATAAACAATATTAAAGAGAGATAACAGTGAGTAGACAGTGAAGAATTAGCAATTAAGGATATGGTGAATTATGTGATAAAGAAACAGGATGATATGGATATTGGCCGATGAATAAACAGATGCAAAAACACGGCAAAAATTATCATTTAGTGAGGCGTGTGTGTCTTAGAAAGGGATAATAATTGTAAATAAAGATGGAATAAAGAATATGAGGAGGAGAAAGAGATAAAACGATGTAGACAGTGAACAATTAGCAAATAAATGTAAGGACAGTAAATACTGTGATAGAGAGAGAGAGAGGGAGAGGAAAAAATATCCTTTTATATTTTTTTTCTTTCCTTTTCATACAAACAAACAAATTAGTCTTCATCCTCTGTCACATCAAATGCTCAAATATATTTCCAAGATTTGATTTTTTTCTATTTTTCTTTTTTTTTTTGTATGTGTGTGTGTGTGTGTGGTGTGTGTTGTGTGTGTGTGTGTGTGTGTGTGTGTGTGTGTGTGTGTGTGTGTGTGTGTGTGTTGTGTGGTGTGGTGAGTGTGTGTGTGTGTGTGTGTGTGTGTGTGTGTGTGTGTGTGTGTGTGTGTGTGTGTGTGTGTGTGTGTGTGTGTGTGTGTGTGTGTGTGTGTGTGTGTGTGTGTGTGTGCAATCAGACAAACAAACCAAACAAAAAACTTCATGGACTTTCCTTTAATTATCACCATTTCTCTTTATCTTCTCTCTTTATCTTTATTTATCAAATCAAACGCAAATATAGAGGTATTTTTCTTTTCTTTTCTTCTTTTTCTTCTTCTTTCTCCCTTTTATCCCTTTTTATTAAACAAACAAACTGACAAACAAACCTCTATCGACTTTCCCTTTATTATCCATTTTACTATCTTTGTCATATTATTTATTACAATTCTTATTTGCATCTATTAGCTAATCATTCCCCTTCCTTACTATCATCTCAAATTCACTTTATCTTTATTTACATCTGCTAATGTCTCTCTATCCATGTAATAATCTCTTTCTATCATATCTTTATTTACTTCTATTTGCTATTTGTTCATTCTGCATTTCATCACCTCTCTTTATTACATTATTTACCATATCCTTATTTACATTCATTTGTTCATTGTTCATTGTCCACGTCATTATCTCTTAGTCCCATTATATATCATATCTTTATTTACATTTCTCCCTCTTAAGAAATACACTTGAAGCAATAGAAAAACTATATGCAATAGATAGATAAATATATATACAGATAAATGAATAGATAGGATAACATACAACTCATACAGACAGGTATATAGACACATCATTGACATCCTAAAATGCCAAAAAGTAAAATTTCAAATATATCAGATGATAGAAAACATTTTAAAATGAAATAAATGAAATAAAAATATATATTTAATTTTGCCTCAAAATCGCTTCAATGAAAGATTTTTTTTTTTTTTTTTTTTTTTTTTTTGCAGCGTGGCCAAAATGAAAAAGAAAATTTGTAAAACTTTGAGGACATTCCCAGAGATCACAGAAAGTAATGAAATATGCAAATTTTAGTCGGCATGAAGCGTCGGCTGATTTTCTTCCCGAGGTACGAAGCGGAAAATAAACAGAGAAGAAGGAGGAACAAGGGGAAAATATGAAAAGGAAAAGGATAATTGGAATATCTAATGAAAGAGTGGTAGGTGTTATGCAGGAGAGGAATCTGTTATATGTGTCTGGAAATATATCAGTGTTTGCATATGTATATATGAATAGGTATACTTAGGTATAAATAATGTACATACATCTATACATACATACAGTGTGAGTGTGTGTGTGTGTGTGTGTGTGTATTCATATATAATATATATATATATATATATATATATATTATATATATATATATATATAGAGAGAGAGAGAGAGAGAGAGAGAGAGAGAGAGAGAGAGAGAGAGAGAGAGAGAGAGAGAGAGAGAGAGAGAGAGAGAGAGAGAGAGAGAGAGAGAGAGAGAGAGAGACAGAGAGAGACAGACAGACAGACAGACAGACAGACAGACAGACAGACAGACAAAGACAGAGACAGAGAGAGACAGAGACAGACAGAGAGACAGAGAGAGACAGAGAGAGACAGAGAGAGACAGAGACAGAGACACAGAGTGAGAGACAGACAGACAAGACAGACAGACAAACAAACAGAATCAAACAAAGACAGAGACAGAGAACAGACACAGACACACAGAAAGAGAGAGTGAACGAGAGAAGAAACCCTCTCCACAGACCGAAGCCGAGAGAAAAAGCGAAGTCATGAAACCTCCCCCAGTGGAAGCCTCCCGCCCAGTCCGGATAAGCGAAACCCGGGGTCACGGAAACAGATCGGAGTGATGAATATAAATGGCCGGTTATTTACACGTCTATGAGTCGGTCGGTGTTTCTCTGGGCGCGAGGTGGGCGGGGCCCGTCAATCAGGTGTGAAAATGGTGCGTGTGTGTTTTGAGTTTCTTCCTGTTTTTTTCTGTTTTTTTCTTTTCTTTTTGTTATGTTTATTTTATTTTTTTCCTTCTTCTGCTTCTTCTTCCTTCTGTTTTCTCTTATTTTCCTTTCTTCTTCCTCTTCTTCTTCTCCTCCTCCTCCTTTTTTTCTTCTTTCTTATTCCCATCTTTAGTCTTAGATATATATGTTTGTGTTTTTTGTTTTTTTGTTGTTGTTTTGGTACTATTATCAAATTTTCTTCTTGCCCGACGGGAAGTTATCCCGACAGGTAGTCACCCCGACAGGTAGATGCCCCGACCCGACAGGTTAGTTACCCCGACAGGTACCCCGACAGGTACCCCCGGGTAGATGCCCCGACAGGTAGTTACCCCGGGTAGTCACCCCGGGTAGATCCCGACAGGTAGTTACCAGACAGGTAGTTACCCCGGCAGGTATTTTACCCCCGACAGCTAGTTAGTCACAGCTAGTTACCCCCGACAGCTAGTTACCCCGACAGGTAGATACCCCGACAGCTAGTTACCACCGAACAGGTAGTTACCAGGTAGTTACCCCCCGACAGGTAGTTACCCCCGACAGGTAGTTATCCCGACAGGTAGTTACCCCCGACAAGTAGTTACCCCGACAGGTAGTTACCACCCGACAGCTAGTTACCCCGACAGCTAGTTAGTTACCCCGACAGGTAGTTACCTCACTAGTTTACCGACAGGTAGATAGATAGCTAGTTACCCCGACAGTTAGATTCCCCCCCGACAGGTAGTTACCCCCAAAGTTAGTTACCCCGACAGGTAGTTACCCCGACAGGTACAGCTAGTTACCCCGACAGCTAGTTACCCCCGACAGGTAGTATCCCAACAGGTAGTTACCCCTACAGGTAGATACCCCCGACAGTAGTTACCCCGCAGGTACCCGAACAAGTAGTTACCCGCTAGTTACCCCCAACAGGTAGATACCCCGACAGCTAATTATCCCGACAGGTAGTTATCCCGACAGCTAGTTACCCCCGACAGCTAGTTATAGTCACCCCCGACAGGTAGATACCCCGACAGTATTCCACCGCAAACTAGTTACCCGACAAAGACCCCGAACAGGTAGTCACCCCGACAGGTAGACAGCTAGTTACCCCGACAGCTAGTTACCCCCGACAGCTAGTTACCCCCGACAGGTAGTCACCCCCCGACAGTAGATTACCCCGACAGCCCTAGTTACCCCGACAGCTAGTTACCCCGACAGCTAGTTACCCCCGACAGGTAGTCACCCCCGACAGGTAGATACCCCGACAGCTAGTTACACCGCTAGACAGCTAGTTACCCCGACAGGTACACAGCCCCCCCCGACAGCTACCCCCGACAGCTAGTTTACCCCCACAGGTAGTCACCCGACAGAGATTACCGCGACAGCTAGTTACCCCCGACAGCCCCGACAGAGTTACCCCCGAGGTAGTAGATAGTACCCCGACAGCTAGTTACCACCGACAACTAATTACCCCCGACAACTAGTTACCCCGACAGGTAGTTCACCCCCGACAGGTAGATACCCCGACAGCTAGTTATCCCGACAGCTAGTTACCCCGACAGGTAGTTACCCCGACAGGTAGTTACCCCCGACAGGTAGTTACCCCCGACAGGTAGTTACCCCGGACAGCTTAGTTACCCCCGACAGCTAGTCACCCCCCGACAGGTAGTTACCCCCGACAGGTAGTATTACCCCCGACAGCCCCGACAGCTAGTTACCCACCGACAACCCCCGACAGGTAGTTCACCCCCGACAGGTAGATTTACCCCGACAGCTAGTCCCGACAGCCCCCGACAGCTAGTTACCCCCGACAGGTAAGCACCCCCGACAGGTAGATACCCCGACAGCTAGTTACCCCGACAGGTTACACAGCTAGTTACCCCCGACAGGTAGTCACCCCGACAGTAGATACCCCGACAGCTAGTTACCACTGACACTCACCCCCGACACTAAGTTACCCCCGACAGGTAGTCACCCCGACAGGTAGAACCCCGACAGTTATTACCCCCGACAGCTAGTTACCCCCGACCCCGACAGGTAGATACAGCTAGTTACCCCCGGACAGGGTTCCCCCGACAGGTAGTCACCCCGACAGGCTAGTTACCCCGACAGGTAGTTAACCCCGACAGGTAGTTACCCCCGACAAGCACCCCGACAGTAGTTACCCCGAAGCCCCCGACAGGTAGTTACCCCCGACAGCTAGTTACCCCCGACAGCTAGTTACCCCGACAGTAGTTTACCCCCGACAGGTAGTTACCCCCGACAGTAGTCCCCACAGTAGTTACCCCGACAGGTAGTCACCACGACAAGCTAGTTACCCCCGACAGGTACCCGACAGGTAGTTACCCCCGCAGGTAGTTACCCCCGACAGGTTTAGTTTACCCCGACAGGTAGTACCCCGTTTACCCCGACAGTCACCCTTAGCTTACCCCCGACAGGAGTCACCCCCGTGGTAGTCACCCGACAGGTAGATACCCCGACAGCTAGTTACCACCGACAACTAGTTACCCCCGACAGGTAGTTACCCCACATGTAGTACCCCGACAGCTAGTTACCAACAACTAATTACCCCGACAACTAGTTACCCCCAACAGGAGTCCCGAAGCTATTACCCCGCAAGCTAGTTACCTCTAACAGGTAGTTACCCCGACAACTAGATTACCTCCGACAGGTAATACCCCGACAGCTAAGTTACCCCCGACAAGCTATTTACCCCCGACAGCGTAGTCACCCCCGACAGGTAGTTACCCCGACAGCTAATTATCCCGACAGTAGTTACCCCCGAACGAGTTAGTACCCGACAGACAGGTAGTCACCCCCGACAGGCTAGTTACCCCGACAGCTAGTTCCCCCGGACAGCTAGTTACCCGACAGCTAGTTCTACCCCCGACAGGTAGTCACCCCGACAGGTAGTCACCCCCGACAGGTCAAGTTACCCCGACAGCTAGTCACCCCCGACAGGTAGTTACCACAGGTCCCCGACAGTACAGGGTAGATTACCCCGACAGCTATTTACCCGACCGGTAGTCCACCTACCCCGAGTTACCACCGACTAATTACCCCCGACAACTAGTTACCCCCAACAGGTAATACCCCCGACAGGCAGACCCCCGACAGCTAGTTACCACTAACAGGTAGTTACCCCCGACAACTAGTTACCCCGACATTGTATATACACCCGACAGCTAGTTACCCCCGACAACTAGTTTTACCCGCCGGACAGGTAGTCACCCCCGACAGTAGTTACCCCGACAGCTAATTATCCCCAGCTTAGTTACCCCGACAGGTAGTCACCCCGACACCTAGTTTACCACCGTCCCCCGACAGGTAGTCACCCCCACTAGCGGAGATCCCGACCAAGTCCTCCAAACCAAACCGGCATCCAGACGACCTCCTCGCCCCGACCTCCCGCCGTGCAATTACCAATCAACAGCATATTGTGAGCAACAAACTACATTCGGAGATAACTGATTCTGCAATCAAATGGTCTTTGCAATGGGGGTGGCAGAGCAGGGGGGGGGGCGGGGAAGGGGGGACGGGGGGTGTTTTTCCTTCGGTGGCGGTCGAGTGATTAGCTGACTTAGAGGGGTATGACTTGGTGTGAAGGTGTGTGAAGGTGTGTGGGTGTTGTGTGTGAGTGTTGTTGTGGGTGTTATGTGGTGAAGTGTGTGAAGGTGTGTGCGTTGTGTGGGTGTGGGTGTCTAAGCGTGTGGGTGTTTGTGTGTTGGATGTTTTTGTGTGGGTGTCTGATTGTGAGAGTGTGTGGGTGTGGGGGGGTGTCTGGGTTGTGGGTTCTAGTGTGTGGTTGTTGTGTGTTGGCCGTTTTGTGTGGAGTGTTTGTGTGTGGGTGGTCTGGGTGGAGTGTGTGTTGGGTGGGGTGTCTGGCATCGGTGTGGGTGTGTGTGTGTGGGTGTCTTGGGTGTCTCTCCCTCTCTCTCCTCCTCCTCTACCTCCTCCCGTCCTCCTCCTCCTCCGCCCTGCCGTCCGGATGTGGGTGTTTGTAGTGGGTCCGTGCTTTTGTGTGTGTGAGCCTGGTGTCTGGGTGTGGGTGTTTGTGGACATTGGGTGGAAGGTTGTGTCTGTGTGTGGAGTGCTATTTTGTGTCCTGGTGTTTTTGGTGTGTGGGTGTTTGTGTGTGTGCGGTGTTTGTGTGTGGGTGGTCGGGTGTGGGTGTTTGTGTCAGGGTGTCTGGGTGTGGGAGTGTGTGCGGTGTCTGGGTGAGCATGTGTGTGTGTGATGTGGTGTCTGGGTGTGGTGTTTGTGTCCAGGGTNGTTGAGGATTTGGGGGGGATGAGGGGTGTGGGCTGGAGGGGGGCGTTTGTGAGGGCTTAGTGGGTGGAGGGGGGCGTGGCCTAAGCCTGTGAGGGCTGGAGGGGGGCGTGGCCTAAGCCTGTGAGGGGCTGGAGGGGCGTGGCTAAGCCTGTGAGGGACTAAAGGGTTATCCTGGAGGCCCCGGGGACATGGGTCGAGGGGGGCGAAGGGCGAGCGGGGTTCGACGGAGCGCCGGGATTGGAGGTGAGTTGGAGGATTTGGGGGGGATTTTTTTGAGGATTTTGGGGGATTTTGTTTAGTGGGCTGGAGGGGGCGTGGCCTAAGCCTGTGAGGGGCTGGAGGGGGGCGTGGCCTAAGCTGTGAGGGGCTGGAGGGGGGCGTGGCCTAAGCTGTGAGGGGCTGGAGGGGGCGTGGCCTAAGCCTGTGAGGGACTAAAGGGTTATCCTGGAGGCCCCGGGGACAGGGTCGAGTGGGCGAAGGGCGAGCGCGGGTTCGACGGAGCGCCGGGATTGGAGGTGAGTTGGAGATTTGGGGGGGGATTTTTTGAGGATTTTGGGGGATTTTGTTTAGTGGGCTGGAGGGGGGCGTGGCCTAAGGCTGTGGGCTGGAGGGGCGTGGCCTAAGCCTGTGGGGCTGGAGGGGGGCGTGGCCTAAGCCTGTGAGGGGCTGGAGGGGGGCGTGGCTGTGGGTAGGATGTGAGGGACTAAAGGGTTATCCTGGAGGCCCCGGGGACATGGGTCGAGTGGGGGCGAAGGGCGAGCGCGGGTTCGACGGAGCGCCGGGATTGGAGGTGAGTTGGAGGATTTGGGGGGGATTTTTTGAGGATTTTGGGGGATTTTGTTTAGTGGGCTGGAGGGGGCGTGGCCTAAGCCTGTGAGGGGCTGGAGGGGGGCGTGGCCTAAGCCTGTGAGGGGCTGGAGGGGGGCGTGGCCTAAGCCTGTGAGGGGCTGGAGGGGGGCGTGGCCTAAGCCTGTGAGGGACTAAAGGGTTATCCTGGAGGCCCCGGGGACATGGGTCGAGTGGGGGCGAAGGGCGAGCGCGGGTTCGACGGAGCGCCGGGATTGGAGGTGAGTTGGAGGATTTGGGGGGGGATTTTTTTTGAGGATTTTGGGGATTTTGTTAGTGGGGCTGGAGGGGGGGTGGCCTAAGCCTGTGAGGGGCTGGAGGGGGGCGTGGCCTGTGAGGGCTGGAGGGGGGCGTGGCCTAAGCCTGTGAGGGGCTGGAGGGGGGCGTGGCTAAGGCTGTGAGGGGCTGGAGGGGGGCGGGCCTAAGCCTGTGGGCTGGAGGGGGCGGCTAAGCCTGTGAGGGGCTGGAGGGGCGTGGCCTAAGCCTGTGCTGGCGTGGGTGAGGACTAAAGGGTTATCCTGGAGGCCCCGGGGACATGGGTCGAGTGGGGGCGAAGGGCGAGCGCGGGTTCGACGGAGCGCCGGGATTGAGGTGAGTTGGAGGATTTGGGGGGGATTTTTTTGAGGATTTGGGGGATTTTGTTTAGTGGGCTGGAGGGGGCGTGGCCTAAGCCTGTGAGGGGCTGGAGGGGGGCGTGGCCTAAGCCTGTGAGGGACTAAAGGGTTATCCTGGAGGCCGGGGACATGGGTCGAGTGGGGGCGAAGGGCGAGCGCGGGTTCGACGGAGCGCCGGATTGGAGGTGAGTTGGAGGATTTGGGGGGGGATTTTTTTTGAGGATTTTGGGGATTTTGTTTAGTGGGCTGGAGGGGGGCGTGGCCTAAGCCTGTGTGAGGGGGCTGGAGGGGGGGCCTAAGCCTGTGAGGGGCTGGAGGGGGGCGTGGCCTAAGCCTGTGAGGGACTAAAAGGGTTATCCTGGAGGCCCGGGGACATGGGTCGAGTGGGGGCGAAGGGCGAGCGCGGGTTCGACGGAGCGCCGGGATTGGAGGTGAGTTGGAGGATTTGGGGGGGGATTTTTTTGAGGATTTTGGGGGATTTTGTTTAGTGGGCTGGAGGGGGCGTGGCCTAAAAGCCTGTGAGGGGCTGGAGGGGGGCGTGGCCTAAGCCTGTGAGGGGCTGGAGGGGGCGTGGCCTAAAGCTGTGAGGGGCTGGAGGGGGGCGTGCCTAAGCCTGTGAGGGCTGGAGGGCGGGGGGGCCCTAAGCCTGTGAGGGCTGGAGGGGGCGTGGCCCTGTGAGGGGCTGGAGGGGGGCGTGGGCCTACTAAGCTGTGCTGGAGTGGAGGTGAGGGACTAAAGGGTTATCCTGGAGGCCCCGGGGACATGGGTCGAGTGGGGGCGAAGGGCGAGCGCGGGTTCGACGGAGCGCCGGGATTGGAGGTGAGTTGGAGGATTTGGGGGGGGATTTTTTGAGGATTTGGGGATTTAGTGGGCTGGAGGGCGGATTTTAAGCTGTGAGGGGTGGAGGGGGGCGTGGCCTAAGCTGTGAGGGGCTGGAGGGGGGCGTGGCCTAAGCCTGTGAGGGCTGGGAGGGGGCGTGGCCTAAGCCTGTGAGGGGCTGGAGGGGGGCGTGGGCCTAAAGCCTAAGCCTGTGAGGGACTAAAGGGTTATCCTGGAGGCCCCGGGGACATGGGTCGAGTGGGGGCGAAGGGCGAGCGCGGGTTCGACGGAGCGCCGGGATTGGAGGTGAGTTGGAGGATTTGGGGGGGGATTTTTTTGAGGATTTTGGGGGATTTTGTTTAGTGGGCTGGAGGGGGGCGTGGCCTAAGCCTGTGAGGGGCTGGAGGGGGGCGTGGCCTAAGCCTGTGAGGGACTAAAGGGTTATCCTGGAGGCCCCGGGGACATGGGTCGAGTGGGGGCGAAGGGCGAGCGCGGGTTCGACGGAGCGCCGGGATTGGAGGTGAGTTGGAGGATTTGGGGGGGATTTTTTTGAGGATTTTGGGGGATTTTGTTTAGTGGGCTGGAGGGGGGCGGGCCTAAGCCTGTGGGCCGTAAGCCTGTGAGGGGCTGGAGGGGGGCGTGGCCTAAGCCTGTGAGGGGCTGGAGGGGGGCGTGGCCTAAGCCTGTGAGGGACTAAAGGGTTATCCTGGAGGCCCCGGGGACATGGGTCGAGTGGGGGCGAAGGGCGAGCGCGGGTTCGACGGAGCGCCGGGTTGGAGGGTGAGTTGGAGGATTTGGGGGTGGGATTTTTGAGGATTTTTTTTTAGAATTTTGGGGGGGATTTTTGGGGATTTTTGGGTTTTTTTTTTGTTTTTTGGGGGGATTTTTGGGATTTTTGAGGATTTTTTAAAGGATTTTTAAAATGATTTTGGGGATTTTTGGGGATTTTAAGGATTTTTTTTTGGGATTTTTAGGGATTTTTTGAGGAATTTTTTTAAGGATTTTTTAAATGATTTTGGGGATTTTGAGGATTTTAAGGATTTTTTGGGATTTCTTGAAGGATTTTTAGGGATTTTTTGAGGATTTTTTCAGACGTTTTTATGGATTTGTCCAGATTTTTTTGAGGATGTTTAGTGATTTTTCAGATTTTGGGGGGATTTTATCAATTTTAGGGATTTCAGGTTTTTAGGATATTTTCAGATTTTTAGATTTTCAGGATTAATAAGGATTTCAAAGTTTTACTTCCAGATTTTAATTTTTTTTCAGATATTTAGGATTTTTCAGATGTTATTTTGAACATTTTTAAGTGCATCTGCTCAGATTTTTAAAGACTTGCCCAGATTTTTAAGGATTTAAGATTTTTTTTAGGAATTTTCAGATTTCTACGGATTTTTCAGATGTTATTTGGAACATTTTTAAGTGCATTTGCCCAGATTTTTAAGGATTTAAGATTTTTAGGAATTTTCAGATTTTTAAGGATTTTAGATTTTTACGGATTTTTCAGTTTTTTCTCAAATTTTTAAGGATTTTTCAAGTTTCTCTCGGTGACCAGATTTATTCAGAAATAGAGAGAGAAAAAAATAAAGAGGGAGAGAAAAATAAAAGATAAAGCTAGAAAGTAAAATAATAATAATAATAATAATCACGATGATTTTTTTTTTTTCGATTTTTCTGTTTTTTTTATTTATTTTAGATTTTTTTCAGATTTTTTCAAGTGTTCTCAGATTTTTTTTCATGTATTTTCTCTGATTTTCTGATTTTCTTTTTCTTATTTATATATTTTTGTTATAATTCCATTTATCAGATTTATTATAAATTGTAAGTAATTTATTTATTCGAATTACTTATATATGTGTTTTTTTCTACGTATATGAATACACACACACACAACACACACACACAACACACATACACAACACACACACACACACACACACACACACACACACACACAACACACACACACACACACACACACACACACACACACACACACACACAAGCAAACACGCACACACACAAACAAACAAACACACGCACACACACAAACAAACAAACAAACACACACACACAGTTCCACACACACACACACAAACAAACAAAAACACAACACCACAACACAGTTCCACACACACAAACAAACAAACAAACACACCACACACAGTTCCACACACACAAACAAACAAACAAACACACAGTTCCACACACACAAAAACAAACCACACACCACACAACACACACACAAACAAACAAAACAAACACACACACACAGTTCCACACACACAAACAAACAAACAAACACACACACACAGTTCCACACACACAAACAAACAAACACACACACACACAACACACACAAACAAACAAACAAACACACACACACAGTTCCACACACACAAACAAACAAACAAACAAACAACAAACACACACAAACAAAACAAACAACACACACACAACCACACACACAAACAAACAAACAAAAACACACACAGTTCCACACACACACAAACAAACAACAACACAAACACAAACACACACCAACAAACAAACAAAAAAAAACAAACACACACACAATTCCACAAACAAACAAAACAAAACAAACATACACACACACAAACAAACAAAAACACACACAAACAACACAACAAACAAAAAACACACACAAAACAAAACAAACACACAACACACAATTCCACACACACAAACAAACAAACAAAACACACAACACACACACAAACACAAACAAACACACACACAACACACACAAACAAACACAAACACACACACAACAAACACACACACACATTCCACACAACACACAATTCACACACACAAACAAACACACACACCACAGTTCCACACACACACACAATTCCACACCACAAACAAACAAAAACACACAAACAAAACAAAAAACACACAAGCAATAATAACTAACTAATGAACACACCTCCCCCCCTTCTCCCCCCCCACCAGGGCCTCCCCGGTACGAAAGGAGAACTGGGAGAAGATGGGAGGAGCGGAGACACAGGTCGACGCGGTGACCCAGGACGACCCGGGTCAAAGGGCGAGCCGGGGTTGCCAGGTAGGTCGAGGGTTTTTTTTTTTTTTTTTTTTTTTTTTTTTTTGAGGGGGGGGAGGTCGGTTTTTTTTTTTTCTTAAGTTTTAGATTTTCGAGTTTTTTTATTTATTTTTTATTTTTTGAGCTTTTTATTTATTTATTTATTTTTTTTATTTTTTTTTTTTTTTACTTTTTTTTTAGGGGAGGTCGGGGTTTTTTTTTTCTTAAGTTTTAGATTTTCGTTTTTTTTTTTTTTTTTTTTTTTTTTGAGCTTTGATTTTTTTTTTTTTTTTTTTTAGGGGAGGTCGGTTTTTTTTTTTTTCTTAAGTTTTAGATTTTCTTAAATTTTTAAAATCTTAAATTTTTAGATTTTCGAGTTTTTTTATGATTTTTTGAGCTTATGATTTTTTTTTTAATTTTTGAGTTTTTGAATTCTTAAATTTTTGAATCTTTGAATCTTTGAATTTTCAATCTTCAAACTTTCAAATCCTCGACTTTTTGACTTTCCTTCCAAATCTCCAAATCTTTAAATCCTCAATTTTTTCCAAATCTTCGACTTTTTGACCTTTTGACCTTTTGACCTCTTGACCTCTTGACCTCTTGAACTTTTGACCTTTTGACCTCTCCTTCAGGCATCCCCGGACGCAAACCTTCCCAATCTTCGACCTTTTGACCTTTTGACCTCTTGACCTCTCCCTCAGGCATCCCCGGACGCAAAGGATTTGACGGGCGACCTTTTGACCTCTCCTTCAGGCATCCCCGGACGCAAACCTTCCCAATCTTCGACCTTTTGACCTTTTGACCTCTTGACCTCTCCCTCAGGCATCCCGACGCAAAGGATTTGACGGGCGACCTTTTGACCTCTCCTTCAGGCATCCCCGACGCAAACCTTCCCAATCTTCGACCTTTTTGACCTTTTGACCTCTTGACCTCTCCCTCAGGCATCCCCGGGACGCAAAGGATTTGACGGGCGACCTTTTGACCTCTCCTTCAGGCATCCCCGGACGCAAACCTTCCCAATCTTCGACCTTTTGACCTTTTGACCTCTTGACCTCTCCCTCAGGCATCCCCGGACGCAAAGGATTTGACGGGCGACCTTTTGACCTCTCCTTCAGGCATCCCCGGACGCAAACCTTCCCAACTTCGACCTTTTGACCTTTTGACCTCTTGACCTCTCCCTCAGGCATCCCCGGACGCAAACCTTCCAATTTCGACTTTTGACCTTTTTAACCTCTTGACCTCTCCCTCAGGCATCCCCGGACGCAAACCTTCCCAATCTTCGACCTTTTGACCTCTTGACCTTTTGACCTTTTGACCTCTTGACCTCTCCCTCAGGCATCCCCGGACGCAAACCTTCCCAATCTTCGACCTTTTTTGACCTCTTTGACCTTTTGACCTTTTGACCTTTTGACCTCTCCCTCAGGCATCCCCGGACGCAAACCTTCCCAATCTTCGACCTTTTGACCTCTTGACCTTTTGACCTCTTGACCTTTTGACCTCTTGACCTTTTGACTTTTAACCTCTTGACCTCTCCCTCAGGCATCCCCGGACGCAAAGGATTTGACGGGCGACCGGGAGCGGCGGGGCGCGACGGCAGCAAGGGCGCGCCGGGTGCCATGGGCGTCTCCGGCTATAAGGTGCGTGTTGGGGTTGTGGTTGGGGTTGTTGTTTGTTAGCTGTGGTTGTGGTTGTTGTGTGGTTGTTGGGGTGAGGTTGTGGTTGAGGTTGTTGGTTGTTGTGGTTGTTGGGGTTGTGGTTGTTGGGGTTGCTGTGGTTATGGTTGTTGGGGGTTGGGGGTGGGGTTGTAGTTAATAATATTAATACTACAACTACAGCTGCAGTTGAAGTTGTGGTTGGGTTGTGTTGCGGTTGTTGTCCCTGTGGTTGGGGTTGTTTGGGGCTGAGGTGTGGTTGTTGGGGTTGAGGTTGTGGTTTGTGGTTGTGTCCCTGTGGTTGGGGTTGTTGTTGTTGTAGCTGTGGTTTGTTGTTGTGGTTGTAGTTAATAATATTAACACTACAGCTGCAGTTGAAGTTGTGGTTGGGGTTGTGGTTGTTGTGGTTGTTTTATTTATATATATAAGGTACGTGTTGTGGTTGGGGTTGTTGTTGTTGTAGTTGTGGTTGTGGTTGTGGTTGTTGTAGCTGTGGTTGTTGTGGTTGTAGTTAATAATATTAACACTACAACTACAGCTGCAGTTGAAGTTGTGGTTGTGTATTTATATATATAAAAGGTACGTGTTGAGGTTGTGGTTGTAGTTGTGGTTGTTGTCGGGGTTAGGGTTGTTGTGGTTGTTGTATTTATATATATATAAGGTACGTGTTGTGGTTGGGGTTGTTGTAGTTGTGGTTGGGGTTGGGGTTGGGGTTGTTGTAGCTGTGTTGTAGTTAATAATATTAACACTACAACTACAGCTGCAGTTGAAGTTGTGGTTGTTTTAGTTGTAGTTATATATATAAGGTACGTGTTGTAGTTATGGTTGTAGTTATATATATATATATATATATATATATACATAAAGTACGTGTTGTGTTTGTGGTTGTGGAATCTCCGGCTATAAGGTGCGTGTTTGTGGTTAAGGTTGTGGTTGTTGTTGGGGTTGTTGTGGTTGTAGAATCTCTGGCAATAAGGTGCGTGTTGTGGTTGTTGTAGTTGTGGTTGTGGAATCTCCGGCTATAAGGTGCGTGTTGTGGTTAGGGTTGTTGGGGTTGTAGTTGTGGTTGTTGTTGTAGTTGTGGTTGTGGAATCTCTGGCTATAAGGTGCGTGTTGTGCTTGTTGTAGTTGTGGTTGTGGAATCTCCGGCTATAAGGTACGTGTTGTAGTTGGAGTTGTGGTTGTAGTGACTGTGGTTATTAGGGTTGTGGTTGTAGTGACTGTGGTTATTAGGGTTGTGGTTGTAGTGACTGTGGTTATTATTAGTGACTGGTTATTAGGGTTGTGGTTGTAGTGACTGTGGTTATTAGGGTTGTGGTTTGTAGTGACTGTGGTTATTAGGGTTGTGGTTGTAGTACTGTGGTTATTAGGGTTGTGGTTGTGTGACTGTGGTTATTAGGGTTGTGGTTGTAGTGGACTGTGGTTATTAGGGTTGTGGTTGTAGTGACTGTGGTTATTAGGGTTGTGGTTGTAGTGACTGTGGTTATTAGGGTTGTGGTTGTAGTGACTGTGGTTATTAGGGTTGTGGTTGTAGTGACTGTGGTTATTAGGGTTGTGGTTGTAGTGACTGTGGTTATTAGGGTTGTTTTGTTGTGTATTACTGTGTTATTAGGGTTGTGGTTGTTAGTGACTGTGGTTATTAGGGTGTGGTTTTAGTGACTGTGGTTATTAGGGTTTGTGGTTGTAGTGACTGTGGTTATTAGGGTTGTGGTTGTAGTTACTGTGGTTATTAGGGTTGTGGTTTGTAGTGACTGTGGTTATTAGGGTTGGGTTGTAGTGACTGTGGTTATTAGGGTTGTGGTTGTAGTGACTGTGGCTATTAGGGTTGTGGTTGTAGTGACTGTGGTTATTAGGGTTGTGGTTGTAGTGACTGTGGTTATTAGGGTTGTGGTTGTAGTGACTGTGGTTATTAGGGTTGTGGTTGTAGTGACTGTGGCTATTAGGGTTTTGGTTGTAGTGACTGTGGTTATTAGGGTTGTGGTTTGTAGTGACTTGTTATTAGGTTGTGGTTGTAATGACTGTGGTTATTAGGGTGTGGTTGTTTAGTGACTGTGGTTATTAGGGTTTGTGGTTGTAGTGACTGTGGTTATTAGGGTTGTGGTTGTAGTGGACTGTGGTTATTAGGGTTGTGGTTGTAGTGACTGTGGTTATTAGGGTTGTGGTTGTAGTGACTGTGGTTATTAGGGTTGTGGTTGTAAGTGACTGTGTTATTAGGGTTGTGGTTGTAGTGACTGTGGTTATTGGGTTTGTGGTTGTAGTGACGTTGGTTGTAGTGACTGTGGTTATTAGGGTTGTGGTTGTAGTGACTAGTGACTGTGGTTATTAGGGTTGTGGTTGTAGTGGACTGTGGTTATTAGTGGTTGTGGTTGTAGTGACTGTGGTTATTAGGGTTGTGTTGTAGTGACTGTGGTATTTAGGGTTGTGGTTGTAGTGACGTGGTTATTTAGGGTTGTGGTTGTAGTGACTGTGGTTATTAGGGTTGGTTGTGTGAGGTTATTAGTGGTTGTAGTGACTGTGGTTTATTAGGGTTGTTGGTTTGTAGTGACTGTGGTTATTAGGGTTGTGGTTGTAGTGACTGTGGTTATTAGGGTTTGTGGTTGTAGTGACTGTGGTTATTAGGGTTTGTGGTTGTAGTGACTGTGGTTATTAGGGTTGTGGTTGTAGTGACTGTGGTTATTAGGGTTGTGGTTGTAGTGACTGTGGTTATTAGGTTGTGGTTGTAGTGACTGTGGTTATTAGGGTTGTGGTTTGTAGTGACTGTGGTTATTAGGTTGTGGTTGTAGTGACTGTGGTTATTAGGTTGTTGTTGTTAGTGACTGTGGTTATTAGGGGTTGTGGTTGTAGTGACTGTGGTTATTAGGGTTGTGGTTGTAGTGACTGTGGTTATTAGGGTTGTGGTTGTAGTGACTGTGTTATTAGGGTTGTGGTTGTAGTGACTGTGGTTATTAGGGTTGTGGTTGTAGTGGACTGTGGTTATTAGGGTTGTGGTTGTAGTGACTGTGGTTATTAGGGTTGTGGTTGTAGTGACTGTGGTTATTAGGGTTGTGGTTGTAGTGACTGTGGGTTATTAGGGTTGTGGTTGTAGTGACTGTGGTTATTCACTGTTGGTTATTAGGGTTGTGTTGTAGTGACTGTGGTTATTAGGGTTTGTGGGTAGTGACTGTGGTTTTAGGGTTTGGTTGTTAGTGACTGTGGTTTTAGGGTTGAGGTTGTAGTGACTGTGTTTTTAGGGTTGTGGTTGTAGTGACTGTGGTTATTAGGGTTTGTGGGTTGTAGTGACTGTGGTTATTAGGGTTGTGGTTGTAGTGACTGTGGTTATTAGGGTTGTGGTTGTAGTGGACTGTGGTTATTAGGGTTGTGGTTGTAGTGACTGTGGTTATTAGGGTTGTGGTTGTTAGTGACTGGTTTATTAGGGTTGTGGTTGTAGTGACTGTGTTATTAGGGTGTTGTGTGACTGTGGTTATTAGGGTTGTGGTTGTAGTGACTGTGGTTATTAGGGTTGTGGTTGTTAGTGACTGTGGTTATTAGGGTTGGTGGTTGTAGTGACTGGTTTATTAGGGTTTGTTGGTTTAGTGACTGTGGTTATTAGGGTTGTGGTTGTAGTGACTGTGGTTATTAGGGTTGTTGGTTGTAGTGACTGGTTATTAGGGTTGTGGTTGTAGTGACTGGTTATTAGGGTTGTGGTTGTAGTGGACTGTGGTTATTAGGGTTTGTGGTTGTAGTGACTGTGGTTATTAGGGTTGTGGTTGTAGTGACTGTGGGTTATTAGGGTTGTGGTTGTAGTGACTGTGGTTATTAGGGTTGTGGTTGTAGTGACTGTGGTTATTAGGGTTGGTTGTAGTGACTGACTTGGTTATTAGGGTTGTGTTGTTAGTGACTGTGGTTATTAGGGTTGTGGTTGTAGTGACTGTGGTTATTAGGGTTGTGGTTGTAGTGACTGTGGTTATTAGGGTTGAGGTTGTAGTGACTGTGGTTATTAGGGTTGTGGTTGTAGTGATGTGGGTTATTAGGGTGTGGTTGTAGTGACTGTGGTTATTAGGGTTGTGGTTGTAGTGACTGTGGTTATTAGGGTGTGGTTGTAGTGACTGTGGTTATTAGGGTTGTGGTTGTAGTGGACTGGTTATTAGGTTGTGGTTGTAGTGACTGTGGTTATTAGGGTTGAGGTTGTAGTGACTGTGGTTTATTGAGGTTGTGGTTGTAGTGACTGTGGTTATTAGGGTTTGTGTTGTAAGTGACTGGTTATTAGGGTTGTGGTTGTAGTGACTGGGGTTGTGGTTGTAGTGACTGTGGTAAGTGACTGTTGTGGGTTATTAGGGTTGAGGTTGTAGTGACTGTGGTTATTAGGGTTGTGGTTGTAGTGACTGGTTATTAGGTATTTGTGGTTGTAGTGACTGGTTATTAGGGTTGTGGTTGTAGTGACTTGGTTATTAGGGTTGTGGTGTAGTGACTGTGGTTATTAGGGTTGTGGTTGTAGTGACTGTGGTTATTGGGTTGGGTGTGTAGTGGACTGTGGTTATTAGGGTTGTGGTTGTAGTGACTGGTGGTTATTAGGGTTGGTGGTTGTAGTGACTGTGGAGTGGTTGTGGTTGTAGTGACTGTGGTTATTAGGGTTGTGGTTGTAGTTGACTGTGGTTATTAGGGTTGTGGTTGTAGTTGACTAGTGGATTATTAGGGTTGTGGTTGTAGTGACTGTGGTTATTAGGTTGTGGTTGTTGACTGTTATTAGGGTTTGTGGGTTTAGTGACTGTGGTTATTAGGGTTGTGGTTGTAGTGACTTGTGGTTTTAGGGTTGTGGTTGTAGTGACTGGTTATTAGGGTTGTGGTTGTAGTGACTGTGGTTATTAGGGTTGAGGTTGTAGTGACTGTGGTTATTAGGGTTGTTGGTTGTAGTGGCTATTGGTTTATTAGGGTTGTGGTTGTAGTGACTGTGGTTATTAGGGTTGTGGTTTGTAGTGAGGTTATTAGGGTTTGGTTGTAGTGGACTGTGGTTATTAGGGTTGTGGTTGTAGTGACTGTGGTTATTAGGGTTGTGGTTGTAGTGACTGTGGTTATTAGGGTTGTGGTTGTAGTGACTGTGGTTATTAGGGTTGTGGTTGTAGTGACTGTGGTTATTAGGGTTGTGGTTGTTGTAGTGTTGCAATTATTGTCAATTATGATTCTCATATTTCAAATACTATTCTTAGATTTATGCTTATATATTCCTACATATTCTTATATATTCTTATATTTATTCTTCTATTCTTATATATATCTTCTTCTATTTTTATATTTATTCTTCTATTTTTTATACTTCTTCTTATATTTTTCTTCTATATTCTTCTATATTCTTTATTCTTATATTCTTACATATTCTTCTATATTCTTACATATTCTTATATTCTTACATATTCTTATATTCTTACATATTTTTTATTCTTACATTTTTATATTCTACATTTATTCTTTTATATTCTTACATATTCTTTTTATATTCTTGCATATTCTTTTATATTCTTGCATATTCTTTTTATATTCTTACATATTCTTTTATATTCTTAACATATTTCTTTTATATCTTACATATTCTTTATATTCTTACATATTCTTTTTATATTCTACATATTCTTTTATATTCTTACACAATTCTTTTATATTCTCACATATTCTTTTATATTCTTTACACATTCTTTTATATTCTTACATATTCTTTTATATTCTTACACATTTCTTTATATTTTACATATTCTTATGTATTCTTACATATTCTTATATATTCTTACATATTCTTGTATATTTCTTATATTTTATATTTATTCTTCTATTTCTTATTTATATTAGTCTATTTTTATATTTATTCTTCTATTCTTATACTTATTCTTATATTTTTCTTCTATATTCTTGTATTATTATTCTTTATTCTTATATTCTTATACTTATTCTCTATATTCATCTATATTCTTCTATATTATTCTTATTTTTACATATTCTTTTATATTCTTACATATTCTTTTATATTCTTACATATCTTTTATGTTCTTACATATTTCTTTTATATTCTTACATATTCTTTATATTCTTACATTCTTATATTTCTTACATATTCTTTTATATTTCTTAACATATTCTTTTATATTGTTACATATTCTTTTATATTGTTACATATTCTTTTATATTCTTACATTATTCTTTTTTCTTACATATTCTTTTATATTCTTACATATTCTTTTATATATTTCTTTACATATTCTTTTTATATTCTTACTTTTATATTCTTACATTCTTTTATATTCTTTATTTTTATATTCCATATTCTTTTATATTCTTCATATTCTTTTATATTTCTTACATATTCTTTATATTTCTTTACATATTCTTTTATATTCTTACATATTCTTTTATATTCTTACATATTCTTTTATATTCTTACTTATATTCTTTTATATTCTTTTATATTCTTACATATTCTTTTTATTTCTTACATATTCTTTTATATTCTTACATATTCTTTTATATTCTTCATATTCTTTTATATTCTTTTTATTCTCTTACATATTCTTTTATATTCTTTATTCTATTCTTATATTCTTTTATATTCTTTTATTCTTACATATTCTTTTATATTCTTATATTCTTTTATATTCTTTTATATTCAGTTTTTATATTCTTACATTATTCTTTTATATTCTATTCTTTATTCTTTTATATTCTTTTTATTTCTTACATATATTCTTTTATATTCTTACATATTCTTTTATATTCTTTTATATTCTTTATTCATATTCTTTTATATTCATATTCTATACTTATATATATTATTCTATATATATTCTTTTATATTCTTACATATTCTTTTACATATTCTTTTATATTCTTACATATTCTTATTCTTCATATTCTTATGTATTTTAATATTCTTGTATATTCTTATTATTTATTCTTCTATTCTTATTTATATATTCTTCTATTTTTATATTATTCTATTCTTATATTTCTTATACTTATTTTCTTATCATTCTATATTATTCTATATTCTTACATATTCTTTTATATTCTTACATATTCTTACACATTCTTATATTCTTCTATATTATTCATTTACATATTCTTTTATATTCTTACATTCTTACACATTCTTCTATATTCTTACATATTCTTCTATATTCTTTTATATTCTTTTTATTCTTTTATATTCTTTTATATTCTTACATATTCTTACACATTCTTCTATATTATTCTTTAATGTTACATATTCTTTTATATTCTTACATTCTTACACATTCTTTCTTATATTCTTCTATATTCTATATTCTTCTATATTCTTCTATATTCTTCTATACTATATTCTTCTATATTCTTCTATATTCTTCTATATTCTTCTTCTTATATTCTTCTATATTCTATATTCTTCTATATTCTATATTCTTCTATATTCTATATTCTTCTTCTATATTCTTCTATATTCTTCTATATTCTTCTATATTCTTCCATATTCTTCATATTCTTCCATATTCTTCCATATTCTTCCATATTCTTCCATATTCTTCCATATTCTTCTATATTATTCTTTATTCTTCCCTATTCTTCTATATTCTTATATATTCTTTATTCTTCTATATTATTCTTTATTCTTCCATATTATTCTTTATATTCTTCCATATTCTTCCATACTATTCTTTATTCTTCCCTATTCTCCCATACCCCAGGGCGGTAAGGGCGAAGAAGGCGACCGGCGACGAGGTCAACCGGGCGTGGCCGGGAAGCAAGGCATGCCGGGATTCCCAGGTCAGCCGGGTCAGCCTGGGATACAAGGTCAAGCCGGGCGACCAGGCGGCAGAGGCGACCCCGGGATACGAGGCGACGAGGGGTCACAGGGCCTGGCGGGCAACCCAGGTCAAGTGGGGTCACCGGGTCGGAAGGGCGAGGATGGGAGACCCGGGGTGGCGGGGGTCAGAGGTCAGAAGGGAGAGGAAGGACTGATGGGAATTCCAGGTAAGTGGAGACGGAGAGAGAGAGATGATAAAAGGAGGGAAGAGAGAGAGATGATAAAGAAGGAGATGATAAAGGAGGGAAGAGAGAGAGAAAGGATAATTGAGAGAGAGAGAGAGAGAGATGAAAGGAGGAGAGATGAGAGGAGAGAGATAAAAAATAATTGAGAGAGAGAGGGAGAGAGAGAGATGATAAATGGGGGAAGAGAGAGAGAGAGAGAGAAGAGAGAGATGATAAAGGAGGGAAGAGAGAGAGATGATAAAGGAGGGAAAAGAGAGAGAGAGAGATGATAAATGAGGGAAGAGAGAGAGAGAGGATAATTGAGAGAGAAAGGGAGAGGGAGAGAGAGAGAGAGAGAGAGAGAAACTTCAAGACAGACGTGAATAAGAGATAGTGAGAAAGAAGAGAGAGAGGAAATTAAATTAAATCTTATAATGTAATAAATATTATAATTACAATTTAATTATATAAATATTCCATTTTTGATTTTAAATAAATCAATGATATTATATTAACTTCTTGAAAAAAAAAATTAATTTGTGTTAGGGAAATAAATAAATAAATAAATAAATAAATGTATATATATATATATATAATAAAAAAAATGAGAAATCGTTATGTTTATATACCTTTTTTCACCAAATTATTCTTGTATATTTCACCATCCACCATTATTATCATCGTTCTTGTCTCATCACCATATCATCCCATCATCATTATCATCATCACCACCAATTCATCTCCTCACCATCATCATCATTCTTGTCTCATTAATATCATCACCACCACCATCATCATTATCATCACCACCACCACCACCATCATCTCATCATCATCATCATCATCATCATCATCATCATCACCACCAATTCTCCTCTTCATCATCATCATCATTCTTGTCTCATTATATCATCACCACCACCACCACCATCATCATCATCATCATCATCACTACACCATCATTCTTCTCTCATTTTATCATCATCACCATATACATCTCCTCTCATCATCATCATCATCAATCATTCTTGTCTCATTAACACATCATACATCACCATTATCTTCACCACCATCATCATCATCATCATTCTTGTCTCAATTATTATCATCATCACCACCACCACCTCATCATCATCAACACTTCACCATCACCATCATTATCATCGTTCTTGTCTCATTTAATATCATCACCATTATCATCATCATGCATCACCATCTCTATCACCATCACCATCATCATTCTTGTCTCATTAATATCATCATCACCATCATCACCCCATCCTCTCATCAACCATCACAATCACCTCACTATCATCATCATCATTCTTATCTCATTAAAATCACTATCATCACCACCTTCTCATCATCATCAATCTCATTCTTGTTGTTTTAACATCGTCACCACCACCACGTCATCATCACCATCACCATCAATCTTTTCTCATTAACCTCATCATCATCACCACCACACGAGCATCACCATCGCCATCATCATCATTCTTGTCTCATTGATATCACCATCATCACCACCACTACACAACCACCATCACCACCACCACCCATCCTCACCTCATTATCATCATCATTAGTGTCTTTTTAATATCACACCACCACCCCTCAATCCTCCTCACCACCACCTCATGTTCCTCCTCCTCCCTATCACCACCACACCACCCTCACCTCCACCCTCACCACCTCATCACCACATCCTCCTCCTCATCCTTACCATCACCACCACCTCAATCCTCCTCATCTCCCCCCCTCATCACCACCACCTCACCCCTACTCACCACCACCTCACCATCACCCCCACAATCCTCCTCACCACCACCTCACCACATCCCACCACCTTACCAACAACCCACACCACCCACCTCCTCCTCCTCACCACTACCCCCACCACCTCCTTGCTCCTCGCTCATCATCATCATCATCATCATTCATGTCTTTTATCGTCGTCACCACCACATCATCATCAACCCTCCCACACACCCTCGGACCACCTCACCACCCACCCTCACCACCCTCGCCCACCCACCACCTCCTCACCACCCCCTCCACCTCCCCAAACCCAACTCACCACCTCACCCCCTCCTCCACCCCCTCCACCTCCTCCCCAAACCCATCTCGCCACACCTCATCCCCCCACTCCCATCACCACCACCACCTCACCCCCCCACCACAATCACCCCTCCACCACCCTCCCCCACCTCCTCCCAACCTCACACAAATCTTCACACCTCACCCCCCTTCCTCTTCCTCACCACCCACCACCTCACCCGCCACCTCCACCTCACACCACCCTCACCACCCTCACCCCCCCTCCACCACCATCTCACCACTTTCACCCCCCCACCCTCCACTTCACCACCTCCCACCACCTCACCCCACCCCTCCACCTCACCACCACTCTCACCTCCACCACCATCACCCTCACCATCACCCCTCACCCCATCACAGCCCCTCCGCATCACCACCACCTCACCCTCCCCCACCTCACCCCCCCTCCTCCCACCTCCCAAACCTCACACAGATCTCACCACCCTCACCCACCCTCGCTCACTTTCACCACCATCACCCCCCCCCTCCACCCCCACCCTGCACTTCACCCCCTCCTCCTCCACCCTCACCCACCACCACCCCACCCTCCACTCACCCCCCACCCCGCCTACTCACCCCCTCCTTCCAACCCCCCCCCACCACATCACCCTCCACCCACCTCCTCCGCATCACATCTCACCCCCCCACCCTCCCACTCCACCCGTCACGCCCCCACACCCCCCATCACCCCCCCACCCCCCCACCCCATCACCACCACCAACTTCACCTCCTCGCCCACCACATCTCACCCCCCACCCTCCACTCCACCCCGTCAACCCCAACCACCATCTCATCACCCTCCCCCCCCTCCACCCACCACACCCCATCACCCCCCATCCAACCCTCACCCTGCACCCCACCTCCTCCCAATCACACCCCCTACCACCTTCACCCCCTCCACCCTCACCCCCATCATCACCCTCCACCCTCACCACCACTCACCACACCCTCCACCCACCTCCTCCCCATCACCATCTCACCCCCCCACCCTCCACTCCACCCCGTCACCCCCACCACCACCATCTCATCACCTCCACCCCTTCCACCGCACCCCCCCATCCCCCTCCACATCTCAATCACCTCCACCCCTCCACTTCACTCCACCCCTCACACACCACCCCCCATCATCACCTCCACGCCCCCCTCCACCCACACCCCCACCCCCTCTCCACCCTCACCCTCCAATTCCCCCCTGCCCATCACCACCTCCTCCACCACCTCACCCTCCACCCCCCTCCTCCCCATCACCACTCCTCCGACCTCCCAAACCTCACAAAATCTCACCACCCCACATCCCTCCACCCTCACCCCCCCCAGCTCACCACCCTTCACCACTTCACCTACCACCTCACCCCCATCATCACCCTCACCGTCCCTCCACCACCCCCATCACACCTCCCCCCCCACCCTCCACCCCCATCATCAACCTCCACCCCTCCACCACCACAATCACCCTCCTCCCCACCTCCTCCAACCATACCCTCCCACCCACCTCACCTCACCCCCTCCCTTCTCATATTCCAGGTCAGGCCGGCACCCAAGGTCGACCCGGCAACCGAGGTCAAGACGGCCGCAAGGGGATCCCCGGTGACCTCGGACGACTGGCAATTTCGGCTTCGACGGGAACCCGGGACCGAGGGTAAGGATTGGGGGGGGGGTGGGGGTGAGGGTAAGGATTAAGGGTGAGGTAAGGATTAGGGGGGTGGGGTGAGGTAAGGATTAGGGGTGGGGTGGAGGGTGAGGGTAAGGATTAGGGGGGGGTGAGGGTAAGGATTGGGGGGGATGAGAAGATATGAACTGTTTAGGATTGGGGGTGGAGGGGGGTGGAGGGGGGGAGGGGGTGAGGGTGAGAAGATATGATCTGTTTAGGATTGGGGGGAGGGGGTGGAGGGGGGAAGGGGGTGGAGGGTGAGAAGATATGATCTGTTTAGGATTGGGGGAGGGGGGTGGAGGGGGAAGGGGGTGAGGGTGAGAAGATATGATCTGTTTAGGATTGGGGGAGGGGGTGGAGGGGGGAAGGGGGTGAGGGTGAGAAGATATGATCTGTTTTAGGATTGGGGGAGGGGGTGGAGGGGGGAAGGGGGTGAGGGTGAGAAGATATGATCTGTTTAGGATTGGGGGAGGGGGTGGAGGGGGGAAGGGGTGAGGGTGAGAAGATATGATCTGTTTAGGATTGGGGGGGGGGTGGAGGGGGAAGGGGTGAGGGTGAGAAGATATGATCTGTTTAGGATTGGGGGGTGGAGGGGGGGAGGGGGGGAGGGGGTGAGGGTAATAAGAAGATAGTATGAAGATATATCTTTAATCTTTCTTATTCTTACTTATATTCTTACATATGAATATTCTTATTCTTAAATATGAAGGGGGGAGGGGGGGGAGGGTAATAAGAAGATTGTATGAAGATATCATTTCTTAATCTCTATCATCCCTTATCTCCTATTTTCTTATCTTTTTATCTCTTTTATCTCTTATCTCCAATGTATCATCCCCATTTTCTTTTCTTATCTTTTTATTTTTTCTTTTCTTCTCTCCTCCTCATTGCTTATCTCTTATCTCCAATCCCTTATCCCCAATTTCCATCCCCAATTTTCCAATTCTCAATCCTAATCCCCTTATCCCTAATCCCCAATACATAATTCCCAATCCCTAATCCCCAATTCCTTACCACGTATCCCCAATCCCTAATGTCCCAATTCCTAATGACCGTTATCCCCAATTCCTTATCCCTAATCCCAATCCATAATTCCTAATCCCTAATCCCCAATTCCTAACCTTATCTCCAATCCCAAATACCCCAATTCCTTATGCCCGTTTAATCCCCAATTCTTGTCCCTAATCCCCAATCCCTAATTCCTAATCCCTAATCCCCAATTCCTACCCCTTATCTCCAATCCCTAATCCCAATTCCCTTATCCCCTTATCCCCAATTCCTGTCGCCTAATCCCCAATCCATAATTCCCAATCCTAATACCAATTCCTTATCCTAATCCCCATCCCTAATTCCCAATCCCTAATCCCTAATCCCCAATTCCTTACCCCTTATCCCCAACCCCTAATTCCCAATTCCTAATCCGTTTATTCCCAATTCCTTATCCCATCCCGAAATCCCCAATTTGTAAATCCCTAATCCAATTCTTATCCCCTTATCCCAATTTCCAATCCCGAATCCTTAATCCCTAATCCCCAATTTCCAATCCCTAATCCCCAATTCCTTATCCAACCCCTAATCCCGAATCCCCCATTTCCAATTCCTAATCTCAATTTCTAATCCTTATCCCCATCCCTAAACCCCCAAATTTCAATCCTTAATCCACCCCTTATCCCTAATTCCCAATCCCCTAACCCCCAAATCCCAATCCCCAACCCCCAATCCCGCAAAATTTCTCACCCCAATCCCCAAATTTCCAATCCCCACCCCCACTTCTTCTCACCCCCAAACCCCCGAACCCCCACTTTCTCACCCCCAACCCCAACCCACTTTCTCACCTCTCCCTCACTCTCTCTTTCCAGGGCCAGAAGGGCTACGCGGGAAACCCCGGCTTGCGAGGCGCCCCCGGAGACAACGGAACCCACGCGGGCCACGGCGACGAAGGCTTCCCAGGTGAGTGTTATGAGGGGGGGTTATGAGGGGTTTTATGAGGGGGGGTTTGGGGGGTTTCATGAGGGTTTTATGAGAGGGTTGTAAGGGGGGTTTTTGAGGGGGGTTGTTTTTTTTGGGGGGGGGGTTGGGGGGGGTTATAAGGGGGGTTTGGGGTGGGGGGTTATGAGGGGGTTTCATGAGGGTTTTTTTGGGGTTTGGGGGTTTCAGGAGGGTTTGGGGGGGGCGGAGACAACGGAACCCACGCGGGCCACGGCGACGAAGGCTTCCCAGGTGAGGGTTTGAGGGGTTTCATGAGGGTTTTATGAGGGGGGGTTCATGAGGGTTCCCAAGTGAAGAGGGGGGTTTTATGAGGGGTTTTTATGAGGGTTGGGGGGTTGTAAGGGGGTTTTGGTTTTTTTGGGGGTTGGGGGGTTATAAGGGGGGTTTGGGATGGGGGGTTATGAGGGGGTTATAAGTTTTTTTTTGGGGGGGATTGGGGGATTTTATGAGGGGGTTTCATGAGGGTTGGGGGGTTTCATGAGGGTTGTAAGGGTTGGGGGAGGGGGTTGTAAGGGGGCCTGGGGGATTTCATGAGGGGGTTTATGAGTTTTTTTTTGGGGGGGTTGGGGGTTTTTATGAGGGGGGTTTCATGAGGGTTGTAAGGGTTTGGTTTTTTTTTTGGGGGGGGGGTTTAATAAGGGGGGTTTGGAGTGTTTTATGAGGGTTTTTCTAATGAGGGGGTTTGAAGGGTTTTAATGAGGGTTTTGGGGGGGGGTTGTAAGGCTTTTTGGGGGTTTATAAGGGGGGATGGGGGTTTCATAAGGGTTTTTGGGGGTTTTATAAAAGAAATTTGGGGGGGGTTTATAAGGGGGATTTGGAGTGTTTTATGGGGGGTTTCATGATGGTTTCTGGGGGGGGGTTATAAGGGGGGTTTTGGGGGTTGTATTTTTAAAAATTGGGGGAGGGGTTATAAGGGGGGGGTTGGGGGGGTTTATGAGGGTTTCCGGGGGTTTCATGAGGGTTTATAAAGGGGTTTGAGGGTTTCATGAGGGTTTTGGGGGGGGGTTATAAGGGGTGTTTTAATAAGGTTTTTTTGGGGGGGGTTCATGAGGGTTTCTTAAGGATTTCTTAAGGGGTTTTATAAGGGTTTCATAAGGGGGTTTCACGAGTTTTTTTTTTTTTTTTGGGGGGGGGTTATAAGGTTTCTTAAGGGGGTTTCATAAGGGGTTCCTTAACGGGTTTTTTTTTTTATAAGGAGGAGGTTCTGGAGGTTTCACGAAGGGTTTCCTTCGTGAAACCTCCAGAACCTTTGGGGTTTCTTTATTTTCTTCAGGTTTCTTGGAGGTTCTTAATTATTTTTTAAGGGTTTCTTAATTTTTTGAAGTATTTTTTGAGTTTGTGTTTGTGTTTTATTTATTATTCTATATTTCATTTGATCTCTCTTTCTCTTTCTCTTTCTCTTTTTTCTCTCTCTCCTGTCTGTCTGTCTGTCTCTCTCTCTCTGTCTGTCTCTCTCTTCTCTCTCTGTCTGCTCTCTCTCTCTCTCTCTCTCTCTCTCTCTCTCTCTCTCTCTCTCTCTCTCTCTCTCTCTCTCTCTCTCTCTCTCTCTCTCTCTCTCTCTCTTCTTCTTCTCTCTTCTTCTCTCTTCTTCTCACTTCTCTTCTCTCTTCTCTTCTCTTCTCTTCTCTTCTCTTCTCTTCTCTTCTCTTCTCTTCTCTTCTCTTCTCTTCTCTCTCTTCTCTTCTTCTTCTCTTCTCTTTCTCTTCTCTTCTCTTCTCTCTCTCTCTCTCTCTCTCTCTCTCTCTCTCTCTCTCTCTCTCTCTCTCTCCCGATTCCGAAACTGTTGTCTCACTGATTATCTATCTATCTATCTATCTATCTATCTATTTATCTATCTATTTATCTATCTATTTGTCACTATATCTATCTATATATCTGTTTGTCTATCTATCTATCTATTTATTTCTCCACCTCTCCCTATCTCCCTCATTTATCCACCTCCCCCCTCTCTTGTCTATCCCTATCTATCTATCAATCTATATCTGTTTGTCTATCTATCTATCCATCTGTTTATCTATCTATCTATCTATCTCTTTATCCACTTTTCCTTCTTCCCCTTATCATTCTCCCTATTTCCCTCATTTACCCACCTCCCCCTCTGTTTATTCATCTATCTATCTATCTATCTATTTATCTATCTATCTATCTATTTGTCACTATATCTATCTATATATCTGTTTGTCTATCTATCTATCTATCTATTTATCCACCCCTCCCTATCTCTCTCATTTATCCACCTCCCCCCCTCTGTCTATCTATCTATCTATCTATCTGTTTGTCTATCTATCTATCCATCTGTTTATCTATGTATCTATCTATCCATCTATCTATTTATCCATCTCCCCCATTTATCCACCCCCTTCTATCTCCCCCATTTATCCAACCCTCCTTCCCAATTTCCCTCCCCCACCCCACACCCCCCTTCTATCTCCCCCATTATCCACCCCCTTCTACCCCATTATCCATCCCTTCCATCTCCCCATTTATCCACCCTTCCATCCCATTTATCCACCCCTTCCATCTCCCCCATTTATATCTATCTCCCCTATCCCTTCACCCCCCTTTATCCACCCCCTTATCTCCCCATTTATCCACCCCCCTTCTATCTCCCCATTTATCCACCCCCTTCTATCCATTTATCCCCCTTCTATCTCCCCCATTTATCCACCCCCCTCTCTATCTCCCCCATTATCCACCCCCTTCTAATTCTCCCCCATTTATCCACCCCCTTCTATATCCCCATTTATCCACCCCCCTTCTATCTCCCCATTTATCCACCCCCTTCCATCTCCCCCATTCATCCACCCCCTTTCCATCTCCCCCATTTATCCCCTTCTACCTCCCCCATTTATTCACCTGCCCCCCTCTTCTTCCCCCCAGGTCTACCCGGCGATGCAGGTATCCCCGGCCTCCCTGGGCCCCCGGGGCTGTGGGGGGGGAGGGCAGGGGTTCCCGGGACCTCGTGGACGCGTCGGCCTCGTGGGGGAGAGAGGGGTCCCCGGCCTGCCTGGGGTCAACGGCAAGAAGGTAGGTCATTTATGAGGATATTTTGATATTTCTAAGATATTTTTAAGAAAGGATTTATTAAGGGATTTATTAGGGGATTTTTTGGAGGATTTTTGATATTTTTAAAGAGGAATTTTGGGAGTATTTTTAGATATTTTAAGAGGGTTTTGGGATTTATTGAAGGATTTATTGAAGAATGTTGATGGCCTCGTGGGGGAGAGAGGGGTCCCGGCCTGCCTGGGGTCAACGGCAAGAAGGTAGGATTTTTTTAAAGGATTTTTTTTTAGGAATTTTGGTAATTTTGAGAGATTTTTTAAAGGTATTTTTAAGAAAAGGATTTTTGGAGGATTTATTGAAGAAAATGTTTGATGGCCTCGTGGGGGAGAGAGGGGTCCCCCCCGGCCTGCCTGGGGTCAACGGCAAGAAAGGTAGGCATTTTTATGAGGATTTTTTTTATTAATTAAGAAAAGGATTTATTAAGGGATTTTTAAAAAGATTTTTGGATTTATTATGGATTTTTTTAGGATTTTTAAAAGGATTTTTGGAAGATTTATTGAAGGATTTTTTGGAGGATTTATTGAAGAAAATGTTGATGGCCTCGTGGGGGAGAGAGGGGTCCCCGGCCTGCCTGGGGTCAACGGCAAGAAGGTAGGATTTATTAAAGGATTTTTTTGAGGAATTTGGTAATTTTGAGAGATTTTTTAAAGGTATTTTTAAGAAAAGGATTTTTGGAGGATTTATTAAGGATTTTGAAAAGGATTCATTAAGGATTTTTGGATTAAGGATTTTTTGTGAAGGATTTTTATTGCCTGGGGTCAACGGCAAGAAGGTAGGTCATCGGAGAGGATTTTTTTTTTTTTTTAAGGAAAGGATTTTGGGAGGATTTTTTTTTTTATTTTTAAGAGGATTTTTGGTATTTTTAAGAGGATTTTTAAAATATTTTTACAGGATTTGTTGAATGTTTTGAAGAGGATTTATTAAGGGATTTTTTAAAAGGATTTTTGGAGGATTTATTGAAGGATTTTTTTAGGAGATATTAAAGGATTTTTGAAGGATTTATTGAAATAAAATTTGATTGGCAAGAAGGTAGGTCATTTGAAGAGGATTTTTGGAGGATTTTTAAGATATTTTTAAGAGGTAAGTGTTTTTGGAGGAAATTTTTAAGAGGATTTTTTGAAGATTTAGTTTTTTATATTTTTAAGAGGATTTTTTTTTAGATATTTTTAAGAAGAATTTTGGAGGATTTTGAAAAGGATTTATTTAGAGGATTTTTGAAGGATTTTTAAAGGAAAATTTGATGGATTTATTAAGTGATTTGTTAAAGGATTTTTTTTGTAGGATTTATATTTAAATTGATGGAAGGTAATTTTATGAGGATTTTGAAGGTATTTTGGAGGATTTATTAATTTTTTTCAGGATTTTAAAGGATTTTTAAAGAATTTATAAATATTTTTTTCAGGATTTTAAAGGATTTTCAAAGAATGTATTAAAAAAAAAATTTTCAGGATTTTAAGGATTTTCAAAGAATTTATTAAAATATTTTTTCAGGATTTTTTCAGGATTTTTGGAGAATTTATTAAAATATTTTTTTCAGGATTTTTGAAGGATTTTGGAGAATTTAATAAAATATTTTTTTCAGGATTTTAAAAGGATTTTCAAAGAATTTTATTAAAATATTTTTTCAGGATTTTATTTTTAAAAGAACTGAAAAAAAAAAAAATATTGGAAGGATAATTTCCAAGATTTTCCAAGGCAAATGGGGGTGAAGAAAAAAACAAATTTAATCAACTTCTACCCTATTTTTGATTAATTTTATGACCTATCTAAACCAATTTTATAATTTCCTCTCCATTCCCAACCGGATTTCAACCATTCCTCCCCGATTTATAACCGATTTTCACCATTTTTCCAAGGGCGAGATGGGGGCGCTGTGTCTCCCCGGAACAGCTCCCCCAAAGATAGAAAAAAACAAATTTAATAAACTTCTACCCTATTTTTGATTAATTTTATCACCTATTAAACCGATTATATCCTTTCTCTCCATTCCCAACCCGATTTCAACCATTCCTCCCGATTATAACCGATTTTCACCATTTTTCCAAGGGCGAGATGGGGGCGCCGTGTCTCCCCGGAACAGCCTGTATTCGAGGCGGAGATCTTGGAGCTGTTCAAACCACCCTTTCCCCTCCTCCTCCAAAGGAGAAAAAAACAAAATTTATTCCACTTTTAACCGAATTTTCGTA